AGAAAAAACTTTGTAAAATGAGAATAAACCAAATCAACAATGTTGATTTAAAATTGATGTGAAATGTAAACAAATCATAACAACCTTCTTGATTCAAAATGTCATTTTTGAGATTTGTAGTGTTTTTATTTAATATTTATCAATTGACAAAGTTTCTTCCATCTTTTTAAAATTAAATATAATAATTTTTTAATATTTATAAATAATAATATTTTTATATTTATCATACACAAATACATGTATATGTTGTTACTATATTTTTTTAATACCAAATATATGTCTTGAGAAATATTTGAACGTATATTTTTTTAGAAAATATTGTGTTTCTTTATTTTATTATATTTATAAATAAAAAATATGTATCTATTTTTATAAATTTATATTTTCGAAAGATTTCTTATATTTTTGAAAAATGTTGATATCTTTCATTCTTTTTGTAGATGAATTGATTTGAATCACTTATGTTTTGGATGATATGTTTCATTGTTTGAAAATGTCTTGGTTGCTTTGATTTGTGTGCTATTGTGGAAGAATTAGACACAAAACAAGTGAAGAGTAAGACACAAGAATATTGGTAAGGAAACCAAGACAGCAGCAAAACATCATGAAGTTCGTCGTGCGAACCTCCTAACGAACTTCTCAGAAAAATCATCAACAAGTTCGCACAACGAACTTGCCAGCGAAGGCCCCTGGGAGCTTGGTACTGTTCACACAGAAGAGAAAGGGAACAAAACTCGTTGTGCGAAGAAGCTAGCGAATGGTTCGCCGGAGTTACTCTTCTAACAATAGATGTCACGTCCCATTCAGTCAGTTAAAGAAATCTTTTGGTTAGGAAGGTTAATTCCTCATCTTTAGACATTTCATAGGAAGTATCCTTCAACAGACTTTAGAAAAGATAATCTGTTAGATAACTTTTCATCATCTAATTCCATTTCTTTTCTTTGAAGATTGCAAGATAAACCTACAAGCCACGGTAAGCTCAAGTTGTATGAATTCTTGAGTAATTGTGACCTTAGGTTTGAATTCACAACAATCTTCTTAGAATTTGCCTGGAAAGACTAGATGAAGTGTAATTGGACAAGCTTCATAACTGATTCCCATGAATCTGATCACAAAGATTCATAGATAGTCTAAGCATTAGACGTATCAATGATGTTGATATATTCAGAATCGAGATAGAGCACCTACCTAAATGCATCTACCTCTGAGGATATTTTCAATAAGCTTCTTCTGAGCTGGTGATAGAGACTTTCAAACTTAGATCATCCTTACACCATCAAGTCCCATAGTAATACCTTTTTCATGGGCATTATATAGACCTTCACAAACCCTTTATCAAGTCCAATAAATTAAAAATATATTTAAATTTTCCATCATTTAAATTCAGGGGAATCACCCTTTGAATATGGTAGGAAAAAACAATGTAATATTTTTCATGTGGCACTTGATTCCCTCTTGAAGGAAAGTATTTAACATACATACTTTTCTCATTGGATCATTATCCGAAACACTGTTAAATGTCATGTACAAACCAGACTCGAATATCAATTGAAGGTGAGAAAAAGTACACAAGAAGGGGGGTTGAATTGTGTTTTGTGTTTTCTAAATTTGCGTCTGATAAGAGTTTAGAATCTAAACTGGTGTTCATATTCTGATTATACATAGCAGCTGAATGTTAACAGAAGCAAATAAATAATAGCAAAAGACACAAATATTTATATTGGTTCCTCCCAAATGAGAGTAGTCCAATCCCCATGTTTCATAACAGATTTTCAGTATAACCAAATCATGATTACAATCACTTATGTATTCTGCATAAGACTTTAACAATGCTTGGACCCTAAGTCTGAAACTTCTTGCTTAAACCCCTAAGACTCAAGACTTCCTTACTCAGGTCCTACATACCCAAGACTTCCTTGCTTAGACCTTAGCCTAAGACTTTCCTACTCAAACCCTTTAGACTCAAGACTTCTGCTCAGACCGCAGCCTAAAACTTTCCTGCTCAGTTCCCTCAGACCCGAGACTTCCTGCTTAAGCCCCTCTCACCCAAGACTCCCTTGCTTAGACCGCAGCCTAAGACTTTCCTACTGAAGCCCCTCAGGCTCAAAACTTCTACTCAGACCCTCGATCCAAGACTTTCTTACTTAGGTTCCACGAATCCAAGACTTCTGCTCAATCAATCCACTTGATTAATACTTTCAATGCTTTAGCACATAGAAGGAGGCTTACATGGCTCAAACTAATACTTTCAATGCTTTAGCACATAGAAGGAGGCTTACATGGCTCAAACGTCTTGGCAAGAGACATGGATTTTCTCAATAAATCTATTTGATTAAGACTTTTATGACTCTAGCATATAACATGAGACTTACATGGCTCAAGCATCTTGGCGAGAGACTTTGATCTAAACTGCTAAACATTCATGTTCAACGGAATATAAAATAAGGTGTACTTGATACAAATATCAGAGGTACATGAAAATCACCATAACAAATACTTAAAGCTCTTAAGATTTCTAATATATTTAACGTGTAAGAAATCTTAAGGATTTTACAATTACAACCTACAACTAGAATTCTGCATAACTAATTGTGTTGATAACTACTGATCTTGTTACTCCTCCATCAGGTTGATCCTTGTTAAAAATTCAGTTTGAACTTTCAACTACTTATATAGCATTTATAGATGACTAGTCGTTGGAGAGATAACTTAATCAAGTGTCTTTTTTTTCTTCATAGTACAAGAGACGTTGAAGATAGATACAACAAAAGATCTTAATCCAATGTGTATTGTGTTTAACCATTGAGTCTTCAAAGAGATCTTGTCCTATCACTACAAGAAAACTTTGATTTTGCCTATTGATTTAGTGACGTGGTAAACGCGTGGGAAAAAAAATACGTTGCGACGTGTAAACCACGTCACTAACATATTTAATTAATAAATTATGTAAACCTAAAATCTGCAACAAAATATTTGAATTTTATGAGGGAGGGAAGTTTGAATTTTTCAAAAATTGAGTTGTGGCGTGTCAAACACATGGAAACAAAAAATTCAAAAAAAGTCTTTTTATTTGCCACGTGGGGAGCATGTCACAAAATACCCACATGTGATTCACGTCGCAAGTTTTTAAATAGTTAAGGTGCTCAGCTTTTACTTTTACTTTTCAGACACATTGATGTTGAAATTAAATGGGACAAGTTTCCCATGTGATTCCCACGTCACAAATGTGATACATAAATGTTTAGAAAAATACACTTGATATATAATCAGAGGTGTATAAAGAATAAAATGCAAATAGATTCTTTAGTTCAACTTATGATTTTATGTTGAGAGAGTAACTTCTCTTTTTGAGTGTCAATTAGTGTATCTTTATTCAAGTCTTCGTCTCCTTAAATAGTGAAGAAAAAAGTCGTTGAAAATCTAGCAAAATAAAATCCTTTGAGAAGCTTTAAAAAAGGATTGAAATGTTTCACCAAATAGTCAAAGTTGGTGAAAACTAGTTTCAAATCTTTTTACTACAAAAAAAATTAGCAGTTGCATTTCACCCGACTCTATGAAAAAAATAGAGCCCAGAATGTGGAAGCCTGTTCCCTTATCAAAAAGGTTATTGATGATATAAATTTGTTTTGTATCAATGTTGGGCAAAAGTCCAATAATAACTAGTGGTGTTATTCCTACTAGTCTTTATAATTTTTTTTTAAACTAAAGTAATTAAAACTGGACATCTCATACCTAAGATGCCCATATTGTTAAGGATAAGTCTAAAGCTAGACATATTAGGCTTGTTCTAGATAAGGTTAAATATAAGTTAACAAAGTGGAAGGGATCTTTTCTTAGTTTTGCAGGCATGATCCGATTGGTCAAAGCATATATTGCTGGTATGCGTGTTCATACTTTTGACACAAGTCTCTTATTAAAAAGCTAGAGAAAAGTATCAAGAACTTCATCTGGGCGGGAGAGATTAGGAAGACCAAGTTAGTCAGTGTGGCTTGGGCTACATTGTGCAAGCCTCTGACACTTTGCTTCTCATCCCTGGACCAAAAGCATTTGGAACTCTGATATTCCTCCTTCGAAAGCATTTCTTGTTTGGAGACTCTTCCATAGTAAAATTCCAACTCATGATAATTTATCCCTTAGAGGTTACTCTCTTCCTTCGATGTGCAGCAAGAATATTTTGAACACTTAATCCTTAACTGTCCCTTTGCTACTCATCTTTGGCATTGGTTTTTCAACATGATAAAACTTTCTCTGGTTTTAATTCTGGAATTTTGGATCTCCGCAATGGAGAGTTATTATTCAAGCTTCATTTGTGCAAAATTTCAATTGCATCTGGTTGGCTCGCAATCAAGTTAGATTCCGCAATACTTTTTCACATTGGAAAAAGGATCTTAACTTAATTTTTATTAAGGTTGCTTTTATAACATCAAAACTTTCAACGTGAATTCATGAACTCACCATCGTCAAAATGAAAATTAAAAGTAGAGATAAAAATTTTTTTTCTTCATATAATCTTTTATATACGTTACATATCCTAAAATATATTAGTAGACACAAAATGTTAAATAATTATTTTTTCATATAATCTTTTATATATGTTACATATCCTAAAATATATTAGTAGACACAAAATGTTAAATAATTATTTTTCATATATATATAAAAGTTCAAAATGAAAATTAAAAGTAGAGATAATTTTTTTTTTCATATAATCTTTTATATACGTTACATATCCTAAAATATATTAGTAGACACAAAATGTTAAATAATTATTTTTTGGCTTGGGGTGATTCACCTTGATACTTATGACAAAAGTTAATTTATAACAAAAATAGATAGTACTTACTTTAGACATATAATTCACATTACTAGTAAAAAAACAAAGATCAATTAATAGAGATTCAAATCCGTTCTAAAAGAACACAACACAGATGTGAAACTTTGAGTTGCAGGTGAAAATTGATTTCATTAAAACAGAAGTTCATATATGCAGACAGCATTCCATGCAAACCAGCAAAAGTTTCATCATGAAGTTTGCACAGCTGCTTCTTCTCTTCTTGTTCTTTCTCTGCAGCATCCATCAAACCACAGCTGTATTTTCTGCAAGGAAGAATCAAACAGATGATCACAACTTAATGACATACATTGTTCATGTCAAAAAGATGGAAAATGTAACTTCAATACAATCACAAGATAACTGGTATCACTCTTTTCTTCTAAAAGCTTTGGAATACAAAGAAAGAGTGGTGTTTTCTTACCACAATGTTGCCTCTGGATTTGCGGTAAAGTTGACTCAAGAAGAAGCTGAAGATCTTCGAGAGAAGCATGGTGTTGTGTCTGTAAGACCTGAGAGAAAACTTTCTTTACACACAACTCACACTCCAACTTTCTTGGGGTTGAAACTAGGGCAGGGTTTGTGGACTGATGATAATCTCGGAAAAGGCATCATAATTGGACTTATAGACAGTGGAATAAACCCTTTTCATCCATCATTCAGCGGCGAAGGAATGCCTCCACCACCTGCAAAATGGAAAGGCCACTGTCAATTCAATGGAAGAAGAACCTGCAACAACAAGCTCATTGGTGCAAGGAATTTAGTCCCAAATGCAACTCAAGAGCTTCCATTTGAGAGTATGATCCATGGAACACACACTGCTGCAATAGCTGGAGGAAGATTCGTAGAAAATGCAAGTCTTTTTGGAAATGCTAAGGGTGTAGCAGCTGGTATGGCACCTAATGCTCACATAGCAATTTACAAAGTGTGCGATGAAGAAATTGGATGCCCTGAAAGTTCTGTTTTAGCTGCAATGGACAAAGCTATTGAAGATGGTGTAGATGTACTTTCTCTTTCACTTGGTTTTGGTTCTTTTCCATTCTTTGAAGACCCGATTGCAGTTGGGGCTTTTGCGGCTACTCAAAAGGGAATTTTTGTTAGTTGCTCTGCAGGAAATTATGGCCCTAACTACTCCACTCTCGTAAATGAAGCTCCTTGGTTTCTCACAGTAGGTGCAAGCACGCACGACAGAAAAATAGCTGCATCGGCAAAGCTAGGAAATGGTGAAGAATTGGAAGGTGAAACATTGATGCAACCCAAGTATTTTTCTCAACAATTATTCCCCCTTGTGTATGCAGGTGCACTGAATAGGAATCAATCCCTCTGTTTACCGGGCTCCTTAAAGAACATGGATGTAAGAGGAAAAGTAGTGCTGTGTGATATGCAAGAATATCTTACACTTCCAAGTATTGTGCCAGGACAAGAAGTTCTAAACTCAGGTGGTGTTGGCATGATACTTGCAAATTCAGCAACTTTAAATTTCACCACTTTTGTTATTCCTCATGTTTTACCTGCAGTTGAAGTGACTTATGCAGCTGGTTTAATGATCAAAGATTACATAAACAAAACCTACAACCCAAAAGCAACATTGTCATTCAAAGGAACAGAAATTGGGGATTCAAATGCTCCTTCTGTTGTCTCATTCTCATCTAGAGGACCAAGCCAAGGAAGTCCTGGAATTCTGAAACCAGACATAATCGGACCTGGATTGAACATTCTAGCAGCATGGCCTGATTCATTAGACAATAGTACACAACGGTTTAACATAATTTCAGGTACCTCAATGTCTTGTCCTCATCTCAGCGGCATTGCAGCGGTGTTGAAAAACTCTCATCCAGATTGGTCACCAGCTGCTATAAAATCAGCAATAATGACAACTGCTAATAAGGTTAATCTTGAAGGAAAGGCTATTTTGGATCAAAGACTTTTACCAGCTGATTTATTTGCGACTGGTGCTGGACATGTTAACCCTTTGAAAGCGAACGATCCAGGACTTGTTTATGACATTGAAACAAATGACTATATTGCTTATTTGTGCGGTTTGAATTACACTGATAAACAAGTTGGACTTATTTTGCAACAGGAAGTGAAATGCTCTGAGGTGAAGAGTATACCCCAAGCACAACTTAACTATCCATCATTTTCGATTCTTTTGGGATCCACATCACAGTTTTATACAAGAACGTTGACAAATGTTGGACCTGTTAACACAACTTATAATGTGGTAGTTGATGTCCCTTTGGCAGTAGATATGAGTGTAAGTCCATCTGAAATAACATTCAATGAGGTGAAGCAAAAGGTTACATACTTTGTTGGTTTTATACCTGAAGGTAAAGAGAATAGAGGTGATAAAATGATTGCTCAAGGGTCTATCAAGTGGGTTTCTGGAAAATATTCTGTTAGTATTCCTGTATCTGTTGTCTTTGTGTGAAAATTTGGATAAATAAATTGATTAGAGCATGACATTATGATGTTAAGGAACTAAAATGTTTGCAAATATGTAATGGAACCTTAGACTTATTTCAATTCCTTTAATGTTAATTTAAGCCAACCTCTCTGAATAGTAAGAAATTATGAGTAAACCACTTGAAACTGTAATTTATAAAATCAAACTTTGCAAGTATGCATGATTCATCCATATGAGGTCATTTTAGAAGGGATTCATCTATATGAGGTTAAATTCTTGTTCTTTTGGAAAGGGATTGCTAAGGATATTCACACATATATAAAAAATAGTGTGGTGTTGCAGAGAAACAGAGAAGCAAGGATGATCTGAGTGCTTATCCGGACCTGCTATAATCTCTTCCTATCATTAGCTGAATATTGGTACAATTTTATTTTTCATTCAGAAATTCATGCTACTCCGCATAAACGGATTCAAAACTTTTAAATAGTAGGCGCAAATTCATATATGAATTTATTGCATTATAACTATGGTGCCATATAGAGTGAGGGTTCAATTAAATTTCTCATGAACGAGGTAGAAAATTCATACCTTTAGATTATAGAAATAGTTGAGATTGGCCGGTAATAAACCTCTATTTAGTGAAAGAGGGGTAGTCCAATTGATAAAAACCTTGCTACTCTCTTCAATGACACTATTTCCAAATTCGTACCTTTAGAAATATGTTGAAGATAATTACAGATAATAGTTCTCCAAGTTCATTATTTGCAACTTTTATAAGCAAAAGAGTAACTTGCAAATCAAATTAAGGAAATATTCAAATGACAGCTTCCCCTTTTATGATCTAATTTCTAGCATAAGGAAAAACCCAACCTACAATGCCGTCCCCAGTTATGTTGTGTGTTTACAAGTTTCCAACCTTTACAAAGACATTGACAAAGTCATTCGCAATCATTGGTAGAATACTACAAAGGAGGAAAGGAAAACCAATTGGAGCAGTTGGAAATGTCTTTGTAATTTGAAAACTTTTCACTTCATCAATAATATAAAAAAAGAAAATGGGGTGGAAAATCCTACTATACCCTCATCTTTAGTGCTGCCACAATACTAATAAATTAGGAATAAATATTATTCTTTTGCAATTAAAGTCGTGGCTTTATTATATTTTTACTATATACTTTTTTTTCCTTATGTATTAATTATTTTTATTCTATTTAATTTTCTTTTGACATTTTCAACTATGTGTCAAATCATACATCTTTTGCATTTTTATATCTGCTCTTCTCTCTTTCATGTAATTGATTCAATTTCATTCTTCTCCCAATATTTTCTTTAACCATTTTCATTATATTTTGCCAACAATTTCAAAACCAAATATTTCATGATCAACTTCCATTTTTTTTTCTTTTTTTTGTTACAGTTTTCGATTTTTCTTTCTTCATCAAAATAAACTTCATTTTCTACATTCAACTTCTTTGCAGGTTTTATATTGTTCATCTTCATTCTTTACGCTAATTCTCTTTCCAATAGCGTTATTCCATCATCAACTTCTTCTTCCTAGGACTTCACCATCTTCTTCTCAATACCTCACTTGATTTCGGTAAGTTTATTTTTATTTTCTTTATGTTATATCTTCCAATCTTTTTTCTTCATCTACGATTCTTTGTTTTTGAATGGATTCACACCAATCATGAGTAAAACATGATGCAAAGTAGAGGAGCAAGGATCTTATAACTTGAAATAAAAAGCTAAAAATGAATTACTATGAGTGATTTCATTGGTTGGAATAAAGATTACTTTTCCTTACAATCCTCCAAACACTTATCAATCTTTCTTCCAATTATCTCTCCCTTATGAGATTAAGAATTTTTTTATGCAACTTTCACTCTTGATCAACCAACTACATAGTAAGAACCATATAAATAATATTTTGCAAAGAAGTCCAAACATAAGTTGTAATACAAACACTTTGATTTGTTTTAATAAACAAGTTTCTTAACTTATGTTTCTCATGTAAAGACTTAAACAATCCCTATAAATTGAAATTCTTCCCAGAAGTGGGAGCCTAGATTGTGTAACACTCATAAAATTACGAAATCCTTCATTTTCAAATTAATTCCTTTACCGCCTTCTTGAAGACTAAGAGTGGTTTGAGTAGGATCAAGAACACTCTTGAAAATTTTTGCAAATGATTATTTAGATTGGTGGTTCCGTTTTTGTGTGAATCAACAACATAAGATTTTACACACCAATTACACTTAGCCCGATTACCTGAAACATCTCTCGTAAAATGATATCAAACCCAAGATTTAGGCCGATAATATTATAAGAGAAAGATTGAAACTTGATTAAAAATAAAAATGAAATTGAAACGAGATTAGAAGATGAGAGATTCACCTGATACGAAAATAAGATTAGAAGAGGGGATATTGAAACCTGATTAAAAACGAAAATCAAACTGAAACGATATTAGAAAAGGAAGATTGAAACATATTAAAAACGAAAATGAAACTCAAACGAAATTAGAAAATGAGAGATTCACTTGATTTTTCTTGCATTCACATTTTCCTTACGTTGGTTCTTGGGTTGCCTTGCATTAGTAACTCTAACTCTGAGAGATGAAAATTAGCTTTAAGTGGGTTTAAGTGAACAGGTTGCAAATAATGGTTTAGGCTTGAGTTGAAAATGAGTTTGTGTGAACGGGTTGTAAATAATGTGATTTGGTTCGATTTCAAAAATTTAAACTGCAAATTAAAATGAACCGCATAGTTCTGACAAAACATGGCCTAAATACATCCAAACCAAATGGAATATTTGTGGCTTTCGGTTTGGTTTGGTTTGGTTAGCAGTTTTCTATTGGATTGGTTTAGTTTTTAACACCCCTACATTTTGAATTGGCTAAAGGTCCAACAAAAGAAAGTCTCGCATCTTATCTATATCTTGTTGGTGCAAAGATAGAATAAATGATGAAATAGGAAATATTCTATTAAAGAGAATGACGGCTACAAAACATGATATTAGGTTACAATGATTGTCACCCTATTTATAAGCTAAAACTAGGGTTACTAGAATAGGATAAATACTAAAATACCCTCTAACAAACTTATGGGCTAAGAAAATAGTACAACTAAATAAATATGAATTATCATTAATATTCTAATACCATCCCTTAATTCATATTCCATCAAAACTTGTAACACCAATTCCATCCCTTAATCTGAGAAATTGATCAGTCTTGATAGCTTTCGTCAGAACATCTGCCAACTGCTTCTGAGTGCTGCAGTGTACAACTTCTAACACTCCACTCTGAACTTGATGTCTCAGAAAATGATACTTGGTCTCAATATGCTTGCTTCTCCCATGCAGCACTGGGTTTCTGGCAAGGTTGATTACAGACTTGTTGTCAATCATCAACTTCAGAGGTTTGTCTACCTTAATCTTCAGATCCTGCAACAGATTCAGAATCCACACAGCTTGGCATGCAGTAACAGCACCTGCAATGTATTCAGCTTCACAGGTTGACAACGCCACAACAGGTTGCTTCTTGGAACACCAAGAAATGGGACCTCCCAGAAATTTGAACAAGTACCCAGATGTACTTCTTCTGTCAACTCTGTCTCCACACCAATCAGAGTCTGAATAACTCAGAAGTTCTGACTCATTATTTCCTCCAGAGGGAAATAACACTCCATACTTCAGAGTTCCTTTGATATACCTCAGAATCCTGACAGCAGCTTGATAATGGGACCACTTAGGTTTACTCATGAACCTACTAACCATCCCAACAGAATAGCAAATATCAGGTCTGGTATTGCACAGATACCTCAGAGAACCAACCAACTGTTTGAAGGTTGTAGCATCCACATCCTTTCCTTCAGAGTCTGAATCCAGTTTCTGATTTGTATCAGAAGGTGTGACAGCCATCTTACAATTCTTCAGATCAAATCTCTTCAGAAGTTCTAATTCATACTTGAGTTGATGCAAAATGATACCTTTCTCAGAATATCTGAACTCCATCCCTAGAAAGTATGTCATTTTGCCTAGATCAGTCATTTCAAATTCATTCATTAGAACCTTCTTGAACTTGGCTATCTCCTGTTCAGAACTTCCAGTCAATAGTATATCATCAACATATAAACATACCAGAGTCATATTGCCTTCAGAAGTATGCTGAACATAGACACCGTACTCCATCTCACATTTCTGAAAGCCTTGCTTCTTGAAAAATGAATCAATCTTCTGATTCCAAGCTCTGGGCGCTTGTTTCAATCCATATAGAGCTTTGTATAATCTGTACACCATCCCTTCCTGATTCTTTTTCACAAATCCAGGAGGTTGTGACACGTAAACTTCTTCTTCTAATGGACCATTCAGAAATGCAGATTTTACATCTAAATGCATCAGAGGCCAATTCCTGTTAGCAGCTATTGCAATCACCATTCTGATTGTTTCATGTCTTGCTACAGGTGCAAACACTTCAGAATAATCCAGCCCAGGTTTCTGTAGAAATCCTCTGGCTACCAACCTTGCTTTATGTTTGCCAATTGAGCCATCTGGCTTTAACTTCTGCTTGAAAACCCATCTGACGCTGATGGCTTTCTTGTCTTTTGGAAGTTCTGTCAGCTTCCAAGTCTTGTTTCTCTCTATAGCATCAAGTTCTTCTTTCATGGCCTTCAGCCAGAGCTTCTGCTTAAGAGCCTCCTCTGTACTTATAGGTTCAGAGTCTACTAACATGGCACACTGAATAACTTCTCCTTCAGAGTCTACTTCAGTGTCTTGCAGCATGTCAAATTCTGCAAATCTTCTGGGAACGCTTCTGATTCTTTGTGGTCTCTGAACTTGTTCAGAGTCTTGAGCTTCAGAGTTTCTAGCTTCAGATGATTGACCTCCAGAGCTTTGACCATCTTCAGAGTCTGGCATATTTCCAGAGTCTAAATTGCCACCAAGATCTGGATTGCCATCAGAGTCTGAATCATCAGAGTCTGGGTCATCTGGGTCACCTTCATCTTCTGAGTCTTCTTCAGAGT